ATATGCATAAGTATATGTATTCGTAGATTTTCACAGGTACAGGTATGTAGGTCTAGGTGTGTTCAGATTGTAAGATTAAGAGTATCTTGGAGACGTTTTGGCGAGGTCCCATTCGCCATCCTCAGGCTGGTGCTTTCGGCTTCGTGCCAGTGAAAGCAGTGCACCAAACAGCCAAGCCCCCCACCCAGTCAAGTCGCACCCGCACTGGCAGTTAAAAGGAAGAAGCAGCTGCAAGCTCACATTACTCTGCGAAGCACAAAGCCGAAGACACAAACCTGAAGATGATGAATGAGACTTCATTGAAACGTCGCCTAGATACTTCCAATTTTACACGGGAGAAAACCCGAATAACCAAAGATCCACATACAAATACCCGCAAAAACCTCCGAAAATAAATATATACATATATATATATACACACACATACACACACACACACACATATATATATATATATATACATATATATATATATATATACAGAGAGAGAGAGAGAGAGAGAAAAAAGATGATAGATAGATAGATAGATAGATAGATAGATAGATAGATAGATAGATAGATAGATAGATAGATAGATAGATTTAAAGATAGATAATATATATATATATATATATATTTTTCTGGGAGTTGAAGTCAGCCAGGGCTGTCAAATAACTGTGGAGCAGTATATAAATCTAAGGGCTATTTTGCTTGGCAACCGTCTGAATACAAAATGCCAGAGTTGGAAGAATCGTTGCAGGAACTGGGCCTGGCTAGTCTAGGGAAGAGAAAGACCAGGGGAGACAGGACAGCAGCCTCCCAATATTTGTGGGGCTGCCACAGAGAGGTGGAAGGGGTCAATGGAAGGGGTCAAGTGATTCTCCAAGGCAAACAAAGGCCAGACAAGGAACAACGGATGGAAACGGACCAAGCAGAGATTCAACCTGGAAATAAGGAGGAACTTTCTGACAGGGAGAACAGAACAGAAGTTGCCCTCGGAAATTGTGGGATGTTTCATCATCCCTGGAGGCTTTCAGGAAGAGACTGGACTGCCCCTCTGTCAGAAATGGTGTAGGCTCTCCTGCTTGGGCAGGGGGTTGGACTAGATGACCTGCAAGGTCCCTTCCAACTCTGATTTTCATCTGTTATCTGTTACCTTGCGGGTCATCTCGTCCAACCCCCACCCCCCTCGCAGGAGACCCTAGCCCATTTCTCCCAGGGCCCAGGCGGGTCTCTTCGGGAAGTCGGGGGGTCTGTCTTCTTTCCCCCAAAGCTTGGGCTCCCCCCCCCCGCCCCCCCGGGCTGGGGCCGGGCTGCCGGCGGTATCGCTCGGTGGGCGGCTGAGTCAGCCTACAAGCCGCCTATAAAGCGCCGCTCTGCCTCCCGCCACACCAGCCCGCCCTGCCCGGAGGAAGGACGAGCCATGCCCCCTTCAGCGCCAGGTAAGCCCCGCCTCCGCCCGGCTCCCTCCCGCTTCGGCTTCCCCGCCCCGCGGAGGGGAGCCCGGCCTGGCAGCGCCCACCTGAGCCAGGTGCGCCGCTTCGGCTCCCGCCGGCCGGGCTCCCCGGAGCGCAGAAGCCGCCGACGGCGGGCTCAGCCCGGGACGCCCGGCAGCCTGGCAAGGGGGGGGGCTGCTCCGGGGGCTCTTCTGCGGCTCCGGAGCCGAGCCGGGGGGGGTCATCCGACGGGAAAGAGTGCAAGGGCGACGGGCGAGACTAGATGACCTTTAGGGCAGAGGAGCAAAAAGCCCTGAGCGGCCAGCTCGGGCGGGGCGGTCCCGAAAGGAGAGGGAGCGTTGCGCGTTTGGGGTAGGATTCCGGCCAAATTGTAGGGAGGAAGAGCCGCCTTGAGTCGCCAGGGAGACCAACCAAGCGATGGAAGGGCTTGCACCGTCGGTCAGAAAGGGTGTAGGATCCCCTGTTTGGGCAGGGGGTTGGACTAGATGATCTACATGGTCCCTTCCGACTCTGATTATCCGTTATCTGCCAATTGCGAGAATCAGCGGCAATATAAATTTCCTAAAACAAATAAATAAAATAAATATAAGTGGTATGGACGGATGAGTTGAGTAGCTGAGCTGTTTATATATTGAATTTTATTACTTCCTTCTTCTTAAATTATTATGCAAGCTGTTTTGGGAAAACTTTGAAAACATCTGAGAGCGTGGGATCCTCAGTTCTCTCTTGAGCTGGGTTGTTTGCTGGCAGACATTTCACTACCGGACTGGGTAACATCCTCAGGATCGTGGAGTGTGAGAGAGTGTGTGTGCGTGTGCGTGTGCGCTCTGCTCCTTGTTTATATACCAGTGGTTTGCCCTGTCAGTTGTGGTGGGAGTGTGTAGCTTTTCTCCTTGGTGGTCCCTGGATTGGGATTTGCTTTTCTGCTTGATTGTTTGTCTGGGGTTAATCCCTGCTTATTGGGGTGTGAGATGCTGGAGACCCCGGGGTCTCCAAACTTAAGACTTGTGGACTTCAACTCCCAGAATTCCCCCTCCAGTCATGTTAGCTCGGGAATTCTGGGAGTTAAAGTCCACCAGTCTTAAACTTGCCAAGTTTGGAGAGCCTTGCTGTAGTAGACAATCTATTCGACTGTTTTCCTTCCTTTCTTGGCTTTTTTTAATGGACTCTCTTGAAGAAGAGAATGGATCTCCAGTGCAGCTTTACTGGGGATTTTATTCTTTTTAATTCAATTCTATATGTCCAACTCTATAGGTGAAGCAGAGGTGGGGAACCACGGCCCCTTTGGGACTTGTGGACTTCAGTTCTGGTTTCTCTTGCCTAAAACTTTGCAAAACTTTACACCACTGAATTTAATGGTCAAGGAGGTGCCGTTTCATTCCCCCCTCCCTTCCTGGGTTCAAGGACTGGGAAGGGACCCCTTGCTCCACTTCCCAAAGAAGCCAAGGGCCCCACTGACCGGTCCCCTCTTCTCTTTCCAGATGCCCGGCCCCTCGCTGGCTGCCTGCTGTTGGTTCTGCTTAGTGTCTCCCCCTCCGTCCAAGGTAGGGGCCACGGGGTGGCATTGCGCGCTGTATTGTTGGGATGGGTCTCACAGCCAGATGTTCAGGCGGCACCTGGCCTCTTTTTAGCACCCATCCGATCCTCCCCAAGGACCCCCTGTGATAGGCAGGTGTGGGTGTTTGAGGGTGGCAAGAGGTCGGCTCTTCCGAGTGAAGCTGCCTTCTGCAAGTGACCGGTGGGCGATTCTGTCAACGCTGATGGTGTTAGTCATGTTTCTGTTGGGTCAGTGGAAGCGCCACGGCCCACACCCTCACGAACCCCAAACCCTGATCTGTGGGGCGAGAGAGGGACCCGGGGAGGGGGGGGTGGAGGAGAGAGGGCAAGAAGGATCTCAGGTGGAAATAGAGGGAGGGTGCGGTGCGGGGGCGGTTCCATAACAGTAGGAGCAGAGTGCAAATCCTCCATCAGCCCAGCCCCTCCAGGCTTCTGCTGAGAGAAACACCTGGGACAGAAACGCTTCTCCCATGAAGTTGGTTAGTCAGGCAAGGCCCCCCCACCCCCTCCTCCAGATTCTGGTTTCCAGAGTCCCATTTTATTTTATTTTATTATGTTATTTTACTATTTATTTTATTATTTATTATTTTATTTTTATCATCGTATTATTTTATATTTTGTTTTATTGTTTTATATATTATTGTATTGTGTTTTATTATTTTATATTTTATTTTATTATTTATTATTTTATTTTTACTTTTATCATCTTATTATTTCATCTTATTATTTTATATATTATTGTATTGCATTTTATTATTTTATATTTTATTTTATTATTTTACTATTTGTTTTATTTTATTATTTATTATTTTATTTTTATTTTTATCATCTTATTATTTTATATTATTGTTTTATATATTATTGTATTGTATTTTACTATTTTATATTTTATTTTATTATTTTACTATTTGTTTTATTATTTAGTGTTATTTTTATTATCTTATTTTATCTTATTTTATTTTATATATTATTGTATTGTATTTATTATTTTTATGTTTTATTTTATTTTATTTTATTTTATTTTATTTTATTATTTTATTTTATTTTATTTTATTTATTTTATGATTACAATGATGGACCGCCCGTTGCAGACCTCATGCACAGAGATGACCGGAGGGCCCCCCCTCCTCCTCCAAAGACCCCCGGGAGGGGAACTGGGGCTGGGTGTGCAGCTGTTGCCCCCCTGCCCCCCCCAACCCACCCACTCTCTTTTCAGCTCCAGCGGCAAAGAAGGAGGAGTCGCAAATCACCTCCATTCTGCAACCCCAGGTCTCCATCGGTAGGTCCCGCCAGGTATCTGGAAAAGGGGGCGGAGGCATCGGGGGGGGGTGGGAGCGGATGAGTTTAAGCCTGAAGAAGCTCCGGGTAGCCCTCGATGTACAACAGTCCATTTAGTGACCCTTCTAAGTTATAACGGCCCTGAAAAAAGTGATTTAGGACCCCTAAGGTTCACGGGATCAAAACTCAGGCACTTGCCAGCTGACTCACACTTATGACGGTTGCATTGCCTTGGGGGCTGCCTTGCCTTGATCCCCTTTTGCGACCTTCTGACGAGCGAAGGCAGATTCGCTTAACGACTGTGTCACTCACTTATCAACTGCAATGCTTCACTTAACGCCTGTGGCAAGAAAGGTCACAAAATGGGGGCAAAACTGGCTTATAACAAATGTCTCACTGAACAACAGGGCTCAATGGTGGTCCTAAGTCAAGGACTACCTGTGCAGGGAGATCCATGGGAAGCCACTTAGTGGTGTGGTTGGGAGAACATCCATGGCAGGGATTGTGGGGGGCAGGAAATCTGCGCCCCCTTCTCTCTATAGGGCAGGGGTCTCCAAACTTGGCAAGTTTGTGGACTTCAACTCCCAGAATTCCTTCTCCAGTCATGTTAGCTCAGGAAGACTCTTGGAATAGACAGGCAGACAGACAGACAGACAGACACGAATAAATAAATATGGATGGATAGATGATAGATAGATAGATATGGTAGGTAGATAGATAGATAGGTATGGTAGGTAGGTAGATGGAAGATGGATGGATGGATGATAGATGATAGATAGATAGATGATGGATTAGATCAGGAGCCTTTAAACTTGGCAGCTTTAAGACTTGTGGACTTCACCTCCCAGAATTCCTCCTCCAGCCATGGTAGCTGAGGAATTCTGGGAGCTGAAGTCCACAAATCTTAAACTTGCCACCTTTGAAGACCCCTGTTCTCGGGGGAGGAGGCCAAGGGGGCACCTGCCATTCCTCAGCGGGGAACAATATTTCGCTTTTCCTTGTGGCTCTCAGGGCAGAAGTTCGGGGTGCCCTGCGTGGGCACCACCATCTACCCGGAGAGTGGCATCATGTACTGGCTGGCGAATGGCACTTTTGTAGACCAGCTGTACCCAAACGGGACGGTGAAGGAGGAAGCCACCATGTGAGTAGGGGGGAATCCCACGCTTTTCCCAAGCGGGAGGGGCAGGATTTGTCTCGGGTTAAACTTTGACTTAGGAAAAAGGAAAAACGCCTTTGGAACAAGGTGCCCGCACCTCTTTTATAAAGCCTCGGTATTAATGCCACACCTGGAAGACGGTGTCCAGGTTTGGTCACCACGCTACAAAAAGGATGTTGAGGCTTTGGAAAAAGTTCACAGAGAAGAGCAACAGAGGCGATTCAAGGCCTGAACATTTGCGGGAATTGGGTAGGTCTAGTTTAATGAAAGGGACTTAGCGGGGGACATGATGGCAGAGTCTTCCAGGATTTGAGGGGCTGCCCCAAAGAAGAGGCGGTCAAGCTCTTCTCCAAAGCCCCAGAAGAGGCAGGAGGAGAAGCAACGGATGGAAACCGATCAAGGAGAGAAGCAACCTGGAACTGAAGAGAAATGACTTAACAGTGAGGGCAATTAGCCAGTGGAACTGCCTGCCACCAGAAGCTGTGGCTGCTCCATCCCTGGAGCTTTCAAGAAGAGATTGGACAGTCGCTTGTCTGAAATGGGATAGTCTCCTGCTTGAGCAGGGGGTTGGACTAGAAGACCTCCAAGGTCCCTTCCAACGCTGTTATTCTGATTCCGAAATCCAGAACCTTCGTGGGGAGAGAAAGCGGGAGAAAGGGGGGAAGATCTGGGCCTAGCACTTCTGGAGGGAGCCAAGGACCAGGCAAGGGGGCTGGGTGGCCAGTTGGGACCCAGGGAGGAAGCCACTCCGGCCAAGAGGTCCGGTTCCCCGGAGGGTTTGTGCTGGCTGTCTCCTCCTCCTCCTCTTCCTTCCTTCCTCCTCCTCTTCTTCCTTCTTCCTTCCTTTCTTCCTCCTCCTCCTCTTCTTCCTTCCTTTCTTCCTCCTCCTCCTCTTCTTCCTTCTTCCTTCCCCTCCTCCTCCTCTTCCTCCTCTTCTTCTTCCTTCTCCTCCCCCTCCTTCCTTCCTTCCTTCCTTCCTTCCTTCTCCTCTTCTTCTTCCTTCTCCTCCTCTTCTTCCTTCCTTCCTTCCTTCCTTCCTTCCTTCCTTCCTTCCTTCCTTCCTTCCTTCCTTCCTTCCTTCCTTCCTTCCTTCCTTCCTTCCTTCCTTCCTTCCTTCCTCCTCCAACTTCTCTTCTGCTCCTTGTCCACAGGGAGAAAGGCGACGTTCTGACCCGGGAGCTGATCTTCTTCCAGTTCACGGCGCAGGACATCAACACCAGATTCGACTGCTTCATGGTTGACCCCTCTGGCGTATTTCAGAAGACCATCAAGTGGCACCTCAAGGCTCAGAAGTTGAGCTCCCCATGGTTCGTTCACCTGGGGGGCAGGTGGGATCTGAAGGCTGAGGATCCTATAGGGAATCTGGTTTGGGGCCAATCCATTGACCCCACACATGGGCCCCCCAAAAGCAAACAGTGCCAGTACAAGGGGGCTCTGAAGGCCCAGATTCCCTGACCTGCATGGTGGGACCCCATTTTGCTCCTTCCATGAATTGAGCCTCTGGACCTTCCCCAGGGACCAAGGCTTCTTCCCTCCGAGAAGGTGGCATGTGAGACCCAGGACCCCCAGGACTGGAGGGCACAGAGGCACCCAACGTCGGACGATGACCCCAGGGCCCTAGCACATTCATAGAATCCCTCCTCCCCGGTTTCTCTTTAAGCGACTCCTGCCCTCTCGCTTGGATTCCAGCGTCCGCTAAAACGTTGGTCGCTCCGGGTTGACCTGTGGGGTCCCTGGCGCTGTCTGAGCTGGGTGGCTTTATTGCAGACGTTTCATGACCCAACTAGGGAACGTTATCGGTGTTCGAAGGGGAGGTGGACTGTGGGGTCCTTGGTGCTGAGCTTGTCTTTTTGTAGACATTTCATTACCAAACTGGCTAACGTCATCAGTGCCGGAAGGGAATGGGGTTTGCAGAAATGAGGAGGAGGAGGAGGAGGAGGAGAACGGCCACGTGGTCCTTGGTGCTCTCTGAGCTTGGCTGTTTTCTGCAGACATTTCATGACCCAACTAGGGAGCAACGTCAGTGCTAGGAGGGAAGGGAGTTTGCTCTGTTTATACACAAGTGGTTTGGTTGGTGGGCCCCCCTGTGCCGAGAGACCACCAAGGACCACATTCCAGCATCCCTTTTGAGGTTGACCAGCAGGCCTTTTCTCCCCGAGGGCCGATGCGAGAGCTCAGGGCCGGACGTCTTGAACTGAGATTTGAGAGAGCAAAATCTATTTTGTGGCATCTCTGCTCTCTCAGGCCCTTCTGGGAACTCGGGCTCGTGACTCGAACCCGGGCCCACTCTCCCCCAGAGGAGAAGCATGCAGGGAAGTCCACCTGCCCCGCCAGCCCTGCCTGGCTGCCCCCCCTTGCTTTGACGGATGAGCCTCCCTCGGCTCTGGGCTGCTTTGGGGGCCCCACCTGGACCTCTGTCCATCTCGGTTGCCCCAGTCCTCTGCTGGAGTCGACCCTCGTGTTGTTTCTCTTTCCATCAGAACGCAACTGGACACGTCTTCACAGCTCCCTGAGAACTAGCAAGGCCAGGAATGGGGTCACCAGCGGCTGCAATCAAGTAGACCGCAACCATGACGGCACCAATTCCACCCACCCATTTTTAAGAGGCTAAAGGTCAAGGAGTGGACACAGCATGGATGGACACTCGATTCAGTTTTGCATCTGTCTGATCTTTCCTCCAAGGATCCAGGAACTGAGGAATCTGCCGATCTAAATCCTCATTTGCTTATTAGACCAGGGGGGGTCTCCATATAGGGCGACTAGAAGGCTTGCGGACTTCCAACTTCAATTCTGGGAGTTGGTCCACAAGTCTTAAAAGTCACCCTATTTGGAGGCCCCCCGGCTTAGAAATTGGGGGATAACGCTCATCTAAACAAAAAGGCGAGCAAAAATGGTTATCGGGAAGATTTTAAACGGAGGATCCTCATGCTCAACGCAGAACCCCTGGGCACCAAACCAAAGGCTCCCACAACCCATTATTCCCCGAACCCCCGATTTGTGTATTTGTAGGAGTGTATTTTGCAGCAACCGTGGACGAAGAGTAAATAACCAGGCTGAGAAGCCCTCAGCCCCATTGTCGCCCACTCTCTTAATCCTGGGTTTTTGTAGAGGGTTTTTTTTTGAATTTTTTAAAAAAATTTGCAGTGTTTGGATATCATTTTTAGTGATTTTTCTACTTGACTTTTTGGAATCCGTAAGTTGCCCAAAGATGCCTTTATGTGGGTAGACGGACGGCATAATTTTTTTTTAAATTGTTAAGCAAACGGCCAGGATGAAGGTGCGACTGAGCTGGGAGGACCAGATTCCTGGAAACCCTGCAGAAGGTTCAACCCCTGAGATGTTTGTCTTGGCTTGTAGCGAAACACGATTTAATCCTGCTGCCCAAAAGATCTGGACTGGCAACCCTGTTTTTAATGCAAAGAAAGAAAAGTTATGGAGACCTGAAAAGCCCAGATTGTAAAGGGAGAAAGTTCTCCATCCGTTTCTGTAAAAATCTTTCCTCTCCAACCGATAAAAACTTAAAATTCCCCGGCTGCTTTTCACCCCCACCGATTAAAAACCAGAATTCTAAGTGCCACCATGTTGTTGTCCTTCCTTGCTAGAGAATTCCATGCTAGGAATTGTTTTTCCCCAAAATTGGGAATCAGCTGCGATTTCTTAGCAACTTTTAGCATTTCCTGGAGCAAAGGGGTTTTCTGCAGCCCTTCCCCAGGAAGTCCTCGACTTACAACAGTTCACTTAGTGGCCATTTAGAATTACGGCACTGAAAAAAAGGGGGCTTAGGACTGTTTTTCACACTTATGGTTGTTGCACCATCCCCCCCCCCCCCCCCGGGCCACCTGATCTTCGAAATTCAGACCCTTGCCACTGAGTCATACTTACGACGGTCACGGTGATCCCCTTTTGCGACCTTCTGACAAGCAAACAGGGGAGCCAAAGTGGCTTCAAAAACTAGTTTAATAATGGTAGTGACTCATTGAATAACTGCAGCAAGACAGGTCGTAAAACAGGGCAAAAATTCACTTAGCGAAGGTCTCCCGGGAGAAACCCTCTGCCCATCCATGTTCCTCTGGGCTCCTTCCCAGGGGGGTCTCTGGGGTGACTCTGGGGTGACCCCCGGGGGCTTGAAGAAATCTTTACAGGTGGTCCTTGACATTCGGTCAGCGAGAAGCCTGCCTGTTGCTGTTAAGAGTCGTAAAACAAGTCAGTCATGTCATGGATGTAATTTTGCGGCAGAAGTCTCCAAACATGGCCACTTCAAGACTGGCGGACTTCAACTCCCAGAATT